TTAAAACATGACAAAAATATTAGCACCTTTAAGCTATATTTTATATAAAATAACTTGCCAAATTACCCTAACCTGCCTAGTTAACCTAATTAACCTAGTTAAGCCTTTAAATGTCACTTTAAGCTAAATAGAAGTGTCTTGAAAAATATCTAGTCAAATATTATTTACTGTCATCATGGCAAAGATAAAATAAATCAGTTATTAGAGATAAGTTATTAAAACTATTTTAAAATTAAAATCTCACTGTTAAACATAAATTGGGTGAAAAAAATTAACAAGGGCGCTAATAATTCTGGGGGGCTAATAATTCTGACTTCAACTATATATATATATATATATGCACAAAACAAAACAAAATGTTTTTTTTCCAATAAATCTTATTTAACTAAACTTCTAATGGTAAAAAAAAATGTAATAAATGTCACTGAACAATGCTGTATGCAATATGTTCATTGTTATTGATGCTAACAATGTTGTTAAGAATCGTTAACAAATGCAGCCTCCTAGTACACCGCGAGTAAATGCTGGAGCAGACGTCTGATCTGCAAATCTTCAGCAGCCATGCCTGGATCTCATCGCCTTAAGTGGTGAAAATGGGAGCGAATAAATGTTTTTCTTCCCCGCACGCTATTTTCTTGGAATGACCATATGCTTGCGAGTAAACAAAATAATATCTGATCAAATACGCAGCTGTAAGCGCAAGAACTTGGGGGATTTTTCTGATTAAATATGGATTCGGAATGGCGATGAATTTATCAAAATAGCGAGCTGTCCTTAATATCTAAATGCAGACAAATGATGTTGCTAATGACTGTTTTGCTTACACAGCAGCACGGCGCAGAACCTCCAAACTTCAAATGATCAAAACACAGACTTAATTAGGCATGTTTATGGTAAAAATAAAAAATAAAGGAGCCATTACCATATGGTTTTTTAATACATCCAGCGTTTCCAGCAGACGCACTGTAGCTGGGCAGTGTATGGTGTGTGTTGGTGAATCACATTGTTCAGCACTGCGTATGTCTGCGTGGACTTCAGTAATCAAAATATAATTAACATTAAGATTAAAGTGTCGCTTTTAGAATATTAATTTCATGTATTTATTTTAAATGTTATAATACAGTATGTGGATTGATTAACATCATTACATCCCCACAGTTTGCCATCCAATGTTCCCTCCAAAACTCAAGCATCAACACACTCAAAAACATCATCACTGCTGCTTGGTCAAACTACCGGTTTAAAATGAGCTGAAACAACACAATTCTTGACACTTCTTTGGCCAATTTATTTGTTTTATGTTAGTCCACTTACATTTGTAAACCATTAAGTTAACTTAAGCGTTTTCTGTTGGGACAACATGAAGGAATTGTGTTGGTCCAACTACCAGGTTAGGAGATTTGTAATTTCCAATATGCTTTGCATGGGATTGTATTAAGAGAGAGAAATGTTGATTATAAAAGCAGGGCCGGAGTGGGACTCCTTTTCAGCCCTGGAGTTTCAAGCCTTAGACCGGCCCACCTTAGCTCACGACTGATTATATTAAAATAATATCATTTACAAATCAGTTTCTAATGACACGATCACGTCTTTTTCAAGAAAACAGCTGCTTTAGAAGTTGAAATGTTCAACAACCCAAACAGTATTATATGTCTTAACAATAAAAATGAAAAAATAAAAATAAATTAAATTAGATAGGTAAGGATCGAACTCGGGTCCTGCGTTGTGGTAATGCAACGTGCTGACCACTGGACCACAATAGCGCTGTCGTAAAAAGTTTTTTATTAATTTTTTTCTCCCCCTTCTAGGTTTCTGATCAATTTATGTCAGATTTATTAATGTAGTGAGTCATCTGATTTTCATTGAGGTGTAAAATTCATTAATATTAATTATTCGAATTCTTATATTCTCTAAGGTGCCGCTGTTTGGGGTCGAATAATAGTTACCTCATCATTAACCTGCAGGCTGCATTCTGCTCACGGGGCTGCGAGAAAAAAAAGCGCGGAGCTGCGGCAAAATAATGAATAAAAAGAGTGAGACTATGGTCAAATAAATAAATAAATGAAAAAAGTGCGACTGCTGAGAGTGCAAGCATCTAGGGACACCGGCCCTCGCGGCCAAAAAACGGACCGGCTCACCGGGAATTCTCCCGGTCCTCCCGATTAGCCAATCCAGGCCTGAATAAAAGTGATCGTAGATGTTTAAAGTTAACAGAAAGACGATTGATACTAGTTCTTATTACTGTTTACACTGTCCTACATTTCAATTCAAGTTTATTTGTAGCGCTTTTCACAATAATTATTATTTCAAAGAAGCTGCATATTATTGCGTTTCACTGAAAATCAAAAAGGATTAAGATTATTGGTCACCATGATTTTATTAGTTACTAATAACTTTAACTAAATAGTAACTAATAGCTTTTAACAGTTAAACATATATAAATAAAGTTAACCTGCAGTTTTACAGTATAAAGGTGATGTCTATGTGTACATGTTCAATGAAGTGTACTTGTTTATTAACTATTTTGTGTATCTCTGTCACACCATAGGATCTCAGTTGTCAGGCTGTACAATGTTTTAAAAACACACAAACAAGCAGATTCATATGAAGTTTTGCATCATCAAATAAAACAAGTCAATAAACGTCCTACAAAATATATCAGAATTTGATTCTGATCATCTATTCCCACGGTACAGAACGAGATACTGTATCCGAGCCGCTTCTTTTTTAATCCTTGTCACGATACAGCGACATGTCCTACAAGCTCTCCTTTTCACTTTATAACTTAATCAGTTTCTCTTCTTGATCTTCTGTCCACCCCGACTCGTTTGAGGTAGTTTGTGCTAATCGTGTCATCAGATTTGTTGCTTACTTTAGTTTGATGCCGTTCCTAGTCACACATTAAATTTTCTCACACTGACAGAATTTCATCAGAGCAAGAATTTGCAGTGGCTATTAATCGGTGAACAAGTGAAAGTTAGCAAAACGTACAGATTTTAGTCCGGAATTACATGAATATATTATATAACTTCATGCATTGTAAAAATGCAGGGTTCCACACAATCCATTCATGTTGTCCCATGTTATCGATTAAGTTTACATAACAAATGTGTAAGTGGATTGAACATAAAACAATTAATTTGTCCAAAAAATCTCAAGAATTTTGTTGTTTCAGCTCATTCTAAATAAATAGTTTGAACAAGCACCAAAATTAATTTCTTAAGTGTATAATAAGGTGGCACAGGGTACCCCTCAGGGGGGCAGGGCATGGAAAAAGTCAATGTTTTATATTTATATAGCCATATTCTTATTAGGTTAAAGACAAAATCATTTAAATGTGAAGCTGTACTTGAATATTGCAAACAAAAACAAAAAACGCTATAAGACCACCATGCAAAATGTTTGTTTATTCGATACAAATAGCTGCTTTCTAGTCTCCATCTCAAAAATCCAAGAGTACATAATTAAAACACTACATTTAAGCGGTTACTGCATTTTCTGCATGTGTACACTATTTGTGTAAATGGTTGTGGCTTTAATCTTGGAAACAACAGGAAAAATATTAACAACGATTTCTATTTTGAGAAGTGTGGTTGTATCGTGGTTTAATAACTATAAGCAAAAACTCTTAGGAGCTTTCAAAATACATTACCGGTCAAAAGTTTTTTTTTTCCCCATGTTTTTTTTTAAGAATTCATCAAGGCGGCATTTATTAAAGGTAAAAAAAAAAAAAAAAGATTTGCTAAATATTTATTAAATATTTATTTAATACTTATTGTATGTATTTTCAAATTAAATCATTAGCTATTGCTTTTATTACTAGTACCATTAATAACAACAACAACAACAACAACAACAAAAATAATAATACAAATAATAAAAATAATAATAATAATAATAATAATATTAATAATAATAATTAATAGAGTGATTTATGAAGGATCATGTAGCTCTGAGGACTGGAGTAATGAAGCTGAAAATTCATCTTTAAAATCACTGCAATAAATTATTAAATTAAATGCTAAAATACTTTTAACTGTTCTTTAATAGTGCAATATCATTTCACTATTTTACAAGGTCTACAGTATTTTTTGATAGAATACATTCAGCCTTGGTGAGCAGGAGAAGCTTAATTTAAAACATTTAATAATCTTACTGACTTCAAACTTTCAATATGCAATTTTTATAAATAGTCCTATGTAATTATAAGTCTATACTTAATAATGGACAGTCAAATGGTCTGCAGCTTATGAATTCGCACTTCGTTGTTTTGAGCTGTGAATTTGAAAGCGCTCTGGTATTAGAGTGTAGAGCTGCTCAATTTTGAAAGAAAAAAAATCTAAATCAAAATTATTTTAGTAAAAAAAAGTTACCTAAGATTATTTAAAGAGGAACTATTATCCCCTGAAGAAGTCTCAGATGTCCCTAGAGTGTGTATGTCAAAAGAGTGTACTCAAAATACTACACACATCATTTTTCATACCTTTTAAACTGCTTATTTATTGGTATATGTGTGGCCTACACTTGTAAATTAACCGTTTTTCTGTATTTTGTGATTCCTGTTTTTATTTTCCTCCATTTGTTTCTGTTTTTAAATTGCATTATGGGATCTTAATCTTTCTTCCAGCAACTTTTAACTTTGAAAAGTTAGAAAAAGGGACTTTTATTAACATTTTTAACAGTTTAAAGTGATATATTGTCTGGGTTGGTGTATATTATGCTGCAAAAACCTTGTAATAAACCACCAGTACGTTTTCCGTTATTTTACAAACACATTTCTCTATTTATTATTTCTAATACATTATTTAAAACGACTAAAATGTCAATAAAAGCCACTTTGTTGAACTGTAGAGTTGAATTTTCAACATCAAAAGTCGACAGAGCAGAGATCAACATACCATAATGCAATTCAGATACCGTAAATGCATACAGAAAGTGTTGATTAACAGATATTTTCTGGAGTGTAGTGTGCATTGTGTAGAGTGCTGTAAAAATCGCACCTGCAGAGGGTCTGTGGGCACATGCATCAGGTGAGGAGGTCTGTCTGCGTGATGCTGCTGTCCTCCATTGCTCTCCTGCTCGTAAATGACATCTCGCTCCACTTGAGACAAACTGAGGAAGCGGCGGATCATGGACAGGTTCTCCCAGAGCGTGCGGTTCTCTGGGGATGGGTCCTCTTTCCAGCGCAGCAGCTCACAAAGCCAGCCCTGCAGGACAACACACACACACACTTTTATCTTTGCGCTGATGACAGTACATAATATTTGACTAGATATTTTTCAAGATACCAGTATCTAGCTTAAAGTGACATTTAAAGGCTTAAAAAGGTTAACTAGGCAAGTTAGGGTAATTAGGCAAGTCATTGTATAAAGATGCTTTGTTCTGTAGACAATTAAAATATAAATTGTTGCTTAAGGAGTCTAATAATTGTGACCTTAAGATGATTTAAAAAAAATTAAATGCTTCTTTTATTCTAGCCAAATTAAACAAATAAGACTTTCTCCAGAAAGTTTTCGCCCTCTCTTCGCGTTTAGGTTGAGTTTGTCAAACATCAAATAAAAATACACATTTTCAAAGCAATTCACAGGACCTTTAAGATTCACACTCTTACAATATAAATTACAATTCTTGCTCCAGGAAATGAAAAAAGTGTACACAGACCACATCATATGGAAACATGTGAACATGTAAAAAGAAACAAGTTCTGGTTAAAACAAAACCACTTGAAGATGTTTCCTGTCATGTACACTACTGTTTCAAAAGTCTGCGGTTGGTAGGATTAGTAAAAATGTTTTGAACCTCTTATGCATAACAAATGGCTGCATGCATTTATTAAACACACAGCAAAATGTTGATAATTGTAAAACAACTGTTGTTCATTTAAATAGCCAAGGTCTATTTTAAAATATTATGTATTGCTGTGGTGCAAAGCTGAATTTTCTCCAGTCTTCAGTGTCACAGAATAGTTCATGGACAAGTTGAGGAACTGGAAACATAATCAGACCAATTATGAACTCCTTTCAACATCAATGTCTAATATAAAAATAGCAAATTCCAAGTTTTAGGAAAGCAGTACACAGAAATAACAAACAGTGTAAAATGATCACTGTAAAATGTGAAGAGAAGAAATTTAGTTAAAAAGAAACTGAAAATTGTATATTGATGTTTCCTGTCATAAACACTACTTTCCAGTCTGTAATACACATACAGACACAAACAAATACATTTAATATTCTTTTTCTTTCTCTTATTATTATTATCATTATTATTATTTATGTCATGCTCACATATACTTGCCAAGATTATACTTGCCACATTGCCAAGTTGCAGTATTACACTATATTTTCCATTTTAAATGAATTTTAAAATAGAATTTATTTCTGCTATAAAGACCTTCATTTTCATCATCATTTCTCCTACAACAATCATTAATAGAATGGAATATTATTGCCTTTTAAAATACCCTTTTTATATTTTTAATATCTTTAAATATAATATATTTTCATCACGAAATCTGGATTTTTATGATAATTTCTCTAGTTTTTAGTGTCACACAACTACAAGAATCATTAACTTAATTGAAAAGTATTGCCAATTAAAATAACAATTTATTTTTTAAATATATTTAAATATAATATATTTTCTCTACGAAAAGCTGAATTTTCATGATAATTTTTCCAGTTTTTAGTGAAATGCAACTGCAAGAATCATTAAATTAATTGAATATTATTGCCAATAAAAATAATCATTTTCTATGTTAAATCATAATTAATTTTCTGCTATGAAAAGCTACATTTTTGTCATACTTTCTCTAGTCTTCAGTATCACACGACTACAAGATACATGAATGGAACTGAATATCATTGCCATTCAAAATAACCATTTTCTATATTAAAATATATTTTATTTTCACTACAAAAAGCTGGATGTTCATGATCATTTCTTCAGTTTTTAGTGTCACACAACTACAAGAATCATTAACTTAATTGAACATCATTGCCTTTTAAAATAACACAATTTATATTTTTAAATATCTTTAAATGTTATATATTTTCACCACAAAAAGCTGAATTTTAATGATCATTTCTCCAGTTTTTGAAGTCACATGACTACAATAATCATGAATGGAATTGAATATTATTGCCAGTTAAAATGAACCAGTTTCCATATAAAATATGATATATAAATATAATTTATTTTCACAATTTTTCCAGTGTTGGGCTGCTGGAAGGGCATCCGCTGAGTAAAACATATGCTGGATAAGTTGGCGGTTTATTCCGCTGATAAATAATGGGACTAAGCCAAAGGATAATTAACGAATTAATGTATTTTCACCAAGAAAAGCTGAATTTTCATGATCATTTCTCCTTTTTTTTGTGTTACACAACTACAAGAATCATTAATAGAATTGAATAATATTGCCAATTAAACTAACGCAATCTATATTTTTTAATTATCTTTAAATATAATATATTTTTACCACAAAAAGCTGAATTTTCATGATCATTTCTCCAGACTGAAATTGCATGACTACTATATTAATGAGTGCAATTGAATATTATTGACAATTAAAATAACCATTTTCCATATTTAAACATGATTTATTTTCACAAAGAAAGGCTGAATTTTCATGATAATTTCTCCTGTTTTTAGTGTCACACGACTACACGAATCATAAACATAATTGAATATTATAGTCATATTAAAAAAATAATTTTTTTATAATTAAATTTATTAATTCATTAATTTTCCTTCGGCTTGATCTTTATTTATCAGGGGTCACCACAGCGGAATGAACCGCCAACTTATCCAGCATATGTTTTACACAGCGGATGCTCTTCCAACTGCAACTCAGTACTGGGAAACACCAATGCACACTCATTCACTACGGCCAATATAGTTTACTCAATTCACCTATAGCGCATGTGTTTGGACGTTGGGGGAAAGCCACACCAACACGAGGAGAACATGCAAACTCCACACAGAAATGCCAACTGGTCCAGCCAGGATTCAAACAAGCGACCTTCCTGCTGTGAGACGACAGTGCTAACCACTGTGCCGTCCAACTTTCAATCTGAAAATATAATTTATTTCTGCCAAAAAAAAAATAATTTTCATAATTTCTCCAGTATTCAGAGTCACATCACTTCAAGTATCATTAACAAAACTGTTAACCAACCAACAAAGAAGCCAATAACCTCCGTCACCATTCCCATTCCTAATATAAAACACAGCAAAATCCTCATTACAGAGAGGAAACAGAGGAAAGCAGAGCACCAGTGTGTGTTCCAGCAGTCCAGTCCTGGCACGCTTACAGACGTGATGCTGTAATCTCCAGGCCAGTGTGTGGCAGCACCTTTCATTTACACAGGATTACCCATCACACACACACATACACACACACACACACACACACACACACACAGAGAGCGCTGCATGGCAAAGATAACTCAGCATTTCTGTTGTCCCATGTTCTACTCCTCCCAAAAGCCATGTAAAGCCCCAGAGAAAGGCTCATCAAGCTCACCTTGTTCCTCTGCCACGTTTATTGTCGCATTTTGTTTTATTTGCGCGCGCAGGGATTTGAGTCTTGTTTCTGCTGTGATGTCTGTAGCTGAGCGCAGTTCAAACACACACACACACACATACAACACCTTATCGCAGCCATTAAGCACACTATCAGAAAATAATCCTCAATCAAACATCTGCGGATAAAACGCCAAACAAATCCCACTGAGCCAAAAAACCAACCAACACTACCACCAAAAAAACATGTTAAAATCAATGTGCAAGCAAACTGAATTAAATAAAAAAAAGTCAACAGAGGTATTAGCATTAATGCTGCTGCATTACAGAACAAAAGCACAAGGATGAAGTCTTTGCATTGGACGGACACACAGATAGTGTAATGCTCTCCGGGGCCTGCAAGACCTGAAAGCCGTTTGTTTTTGTCCAATTGCATTTCTTCCACTGTCTTGCCATAAACAGAGCGCGCTCGCAGAAACAGACACATTTCGGTCAAACGCTACACAGGACAACGGGCATTAATGCAGGATATGAGCATCTACAGTAGCCAACATTTAAAGTGCTTCAAAAGCTTTTATTAAAGTTGTTCTAAAATATTAACAACACCCATTCATGTCTTAGGGTAGAACTAAACTAAAACTACATGATGGTGAAAAGGTAATTTTTATTAGAAATGTTTGACTCTTTTGATTGCAAATGTTGGTTAATGTGGGTTTGGCAGAAAAACAGACTTTGCATAAAATGAAATGAAATAAAATAAAATAAAATAAAATAAAATAAAATAAAATAAAATAAAATAAAAAATAAAATAAAATAAAACAAAGTAAAGTAAAATAAAATAAAATAAAGTAAAATAAAATAAAATGAAATAAAACATAACAAAACAAAACAGAACAAAACAAAAAATAAATAAATAAATAAATAAAATAAAATAAAATAAAATAATAAAACAAATAAAATAAATAATAAATTATATATTCTTAAATAAAACACAGGGTAGTAAAAATGTTAATTTTACTGGAAATGCCTGAACTTGAGATCTTTTAAATGCAAACATTGGTATATTTGGTAGGTAATAAAATAAGATATTTTATTTTCTGCCATAATCATAATCATTTTCTTCAGTGCCACACGACCATTAATGGAGTTAAATATTATTGCTTTTTTAAGAAAATTAAAGAAAATAAAATAAAAAAACTAATTCTGCCATGAAAACCAGAATTTCATAATAATTTCTCTAGACTTCACAGTCACATGACTACAAGAATCATTAATGGAATTGAAATATATTGCCATTTTTAAAAGCTAAAAAAATAAAGCAACATTTAAAAATAAAACAAAAATAAAATTAATTTTAAAATTGACAATGATAAAATGAAATCTCATTTTCTTCTCAAATATTATATTTAATCTAGTTCAAGGACAAACGTCAGGACAAACAATAGGAGACTTCAGCAGTAATACAGAGATCTTTCATGTGGCTACTCAATAATGTAATGTAATGTAATGTATTTTTTATTTAATGCCATGTCAGCAACCAAGGCTATCTTCATGGCAGGAATCTTTCAACAATAAATATACAATTTAAAAATCAACAAACAAAATAAAACATAAATTAAATAAGATTTTTTGTGTTAATACATGATAAAAATTCTAAAATCTTTACGGTTTCACTTTGTCA